CCCGCTGCTCCCCTCAGCAGTGTACTTCGTCGATCTGCCTGTTCTGCTCCCCACTCTGTCTCTGGTGAAGCCTCTCACCGCCCTGCACCTCTGGCCTGTACCCCAGTTCTGTATACATAAATAAATAAATCTTCAAAAAAAAAGATCAAAACCCCACTTTTAATATGCGCATGCTAATGTCTGTTCAGAGACAAAGATTGATGTAAGCAAGTGAAATGGTCTCTCCCAAGAACTTTCAAAGCATTAACCAATTCATGAGCACTGACAAGCCTCTAATGGTGTGATTAGAGTGACTTTTTACCCTAAATGCTGCTTCCGTCCATTTTACCGCCTTTGTCAGTAGCTCCTATGCACTATCTTCACATCTGCTGACAGCCACTCATTCGCCCAACAAGGATCACTGAGTATCTGCTGTACAGCAGACAGGGCTCTCCGTGCCAGGGACGGAGGAATCTGGGAGGTGGGCATCACAATCAGTTAGGTGCAGGGTGTCCTAAACCCCTAAGTCCACTTACTAGCTTGACCGAGAAACCCTTGGCGGGAAGCAGGAGGGTGTCCTTCCTTCCTTGTCTCCCCACAAACTCTAGGTCCACGTATCAGTGTGATGGAGAGTACTGAGCAGCACAGAAACTCAGCACTACAGCAACAAACCACAGCTAGTTTGGGAACGGTAGGCCACACCATGTGGGCAAAATGTGGGTAGTGTAGGAGACCCCACAAACTCAGGTAGCCTAGGAGAACCCTGCAGGCTGGTAAGAGACACAACACAGACACACACACCCCTCAACCCCGTGCCTCCCACTCACAGAAGCACCTGCAGCTTGCTACATTAGCTGTTGCCCACTCGGGGAGCTGTCCACGGGGACAGCTCTCCTGTCCTGTTGTCACCTCTTTGGACCACCTATTTGGGGTCTTCTTTGCTCAGAGAGCTTTCCTCTTCTTCCTACCTGTCCATACATCTCTTGCTTTACTGTATCTTTGATCTGAACCTTGACTTCTTTCCCTGCAGGAGACAGGAAAGGCATAAATGCCCAGCTGGGGTCCTCAGACTCCAGGCCTGCCCCCTGAAGCCCCAGTTCTCTAGGGAAACCGCAGTGAAAACAGCATTCCTGCATTGTGGTGGCTTGCCTCATTCTAGCCTATATGTAATTTAAAAATATATGGTGAAGTGATACATATAACTAGCAAGTGTTAATGGCCAGAAGAAGGACTAAATCAGCGGTGGGTAGTGCACAACGTGTGCATGGAAATTACATTTTTAAGCACAGAAGAAACAGCCAGCCCTTACCAAGCAAGTGGTATTTGAATAAATAAGGTCATTTTGTAGCAAGCCATATGAGAGAGGGGGAGAAGTGTTCGAGACAGATGGAACGTAAATGTAAATGTTCTAATTCTGGAATACTCCTGACATTGTCAGGAAGGAGGCCCGTGACTGAGGAGAATTGCAGAAGAGGGCAGGGGAGCGCTGGATGGGCGGGTGTGACATACCGTGACGGGGGTGTGGCGGGGGGAGCCTTTAGCACAGGAGGTTGGCACAGGCAGGGAGCAACACACTTGAACTTATCTGCTGATAGAGTACTTTTCAATCAAATTATGCTTCAGAAAGGCCTGGAAAATATTTGTATGTATTTATAAAGATTTAAAACTTTGTAAAGCATCATGGCATTATAAAAGGTAAGATGTAAACTCTATTTTGATGGCATAAACCAATTACTGTTGATGCATCTTGCAAATCCTTTTTTAATGCTCACATATTACACATTGCAATGGCTCTCTGGAGCCATTAAATCTTAAGTGACAAATGGATATTACCAATTTGTAGGTATCTAGCATCTAGAAGAATGGTTACTAAGCTGTATAGATTTTCCTGTGCTAGCATCCTAAGTGGAAAAATTAAGAATTTTATTCC